ACAAAGTACTCTACGGTGGCTGGGGTGCACATTGCAAAGTGGAAAGTGGCATGGAATGAAGTGGCAGAGAGTCTTCATGTGATGCATGACATTCGCCTTTATTCTGAAGGATTTGAAGCAGGGTCAGATCCCTCTTGTATTCCAGGAACAACTCTCTTGAACTCTTCTTTTATTCCTGATGACCATGAGACCAGTTCCACAAGCGCTTCCACAAATGCTTACAGGTACAAGCAGAGTCTTTCATCCTTCTTGCTTCCTGATGCAGATCTTATCTGTGTAAGCCTCTTGGCACTCATGCATGGGCAACAAGGAAGTTCAGGAATCAATTAATGCCCAGTGGGGCAATCCTTGACTAATTGGGAATAGGAGATGTAGAATAAATGACTTAGAAAGAGTAAGAAAAAGGACCAATCTCCAAAGAACATCAGCTTGAAGAAATCAATTTAAGAATTTAAAGATTTAGAAATGGGTCCTGAAAGAGAACTTCACAAGGAAAGGGTGTAGGTATCCAAAGAAAGAGAGAATGTGGACATCTTAGGAGGCAGAGGATGAGAGTTTTCCTAGGATGAGAGAGAATCGGCACTGTCAAATGCTGCAGGAAGGTCAAATAGGACAAGAAATGAAAAGCATGCACTGGAATTAAAAACATAAAGACATTAGTGATCTGTACCAGATGAGTGTTACTGCAGCAGTGGGAGGGTAGTCACATTATAGTGGTTGAGAAAAGATTGGGAGGTAAAGAAGTAGACAATGTATTAGTTTTTTTTTTTTTTGCTACTAAAAACAAATTATAACAAACTCAGTAGTTTGAAACAACACACACTTCATGTTTTGTGGGTTATGGAGTCCAGTATGAGTCTTACTGGGCTAAAATCAAAGCGTTCACAGGACTGTGTTCTTTTTGGGGGTTCTGGAAGACCTGTTCCAGATTCTAGAGGCTACCTATGATTCCTGGGTTGTGGTCCCTTCCTCCATCTTCAAGTCAGCAATGTTGCATCTCTCTAATCATTCCTCCAGTCACATCTCCCTCTGTAATTATATCTGAAAAGCTTCTCTGCTTTTAAGGACTCATGTGCTTATACTACAGCCCCAATTCCCATATAATTCAGAAAAATCTCTCCTTCTCGAAGTCCCTAACTTAGCCATATCAGCCTTTTGCCTTGTAAAGTGATATATTTATAGTTCTGGGGGTGATGATGCAAATATCTTTGGGGTGCCATCCTTCTGCCTACCATAGGCAATGAATAGAGCTCTTTAGAAATTTTTCCAGGAAGAAGAGTAATGTAGCATAGCTTGAAGGCATGTGCAACTGCAGATTTTTAAAGGAAGTGATGGGGAGGGAAGGCTTAGAAGGGAGGTGGACACTGCAAGATTGATATTCTTTGGAGACGACTCGCAGACAGAAATTGTCTTTTTATTTTACTGGGATGATTGTAGATTAAGTTTTCATAATGAGAAAGTGATTATCCATTCCATGTTAGATGATGGTTATGATGACAATTTGATCCGACAATATTGCATCTTTAAGAACTTTAGATTCTTTCTAAAGTAATACCATCCAAACATTGATTTAGTTTGCCATGCCATAAAATATTGTGTTAGAGAATAAAATATGATTTATGAAAACTGTATTTTGTCTTTTAAGCAATACCTATTCTAAAATTCTTATACAAGTATGGTAGAATTAATTACATGCTCTAGGACATCCTGTGCTTGATGTGACTAGATTGCCAAAAAAAAATTCAGTGGAAGTAACTGGAGGAGTAAGCACGAATTGCAAAATAAATAAATCAATATTTGCAGAACTACTTATTGTCTAAGAGTCCTAAATGCGAGTTAATATAGTTCCAATGTGTCTATGATAGTTTACTCTATATAATTATATGTATACAATATGTACATTATATATACACATATGTGTATACATGCATATTTAGCTATATAAACATATACTATATATCATATATGAAATATATATGGAAATATATAAATTTATATATGTGTATGTATTGCTAGATATATGATCTAGAGTTGTCTATCATAGTCCAGAGTAGCAAATAAAATGACAGAATCAATTTTACTGTATAAAATTCTTTAGTGTATAATTTACTGATAAAGAGCAGTCTGACTCTTAGAGTTCTCTATTTAATAAGACAGCAGTGCAGTAAAGCAGCCTTCTATTTTTGTCTGGGCTGTATCTTTTACTGATCTTTAGCATCAAATTTGATCTAGTGAAATGGCAGAGAGGCTAAAATGACCTCTATCTGAAATATGACGAAGGAGCTCTCTTTTTCCAAGAAGGCAGCTTTGTACTTTTTAGGCTTTTAGTATAGGAGTAGTCTTTCTCTGTGTCTGACCAAAGCAAGCCTACTGTGCACTGAGTTTTGGCTCTTTGAATCTTATGACAACAAATTATTATAATTATTATTTTCTTTATGGAGACAAGGTCTTGCTCTGTCACCTTTGCTAGAGTGCAGTGATGTGATCATAGCTCACTGAGGCCTTGATCTCCTGGGCTCAAGTGATTCTCCAGCCCTAACCTCCCATATTAGAATGGATTCTAACCACCCCAAGTTCATGCGCATGAAACAAATTCAATGGCTGAGCTAGTTTCCTGCTCAGTCTTTCCTCTATCTTCTTTTCTCCCATCTCCTTTTCACTGGATGCTTCAACCTCATTAGTATTTGAGGAAAAAAACTGGATCCTGTCCATCATTTTAGTTGTTGCTTTCCTTTTCCTGGCAGACAGAGACTAAAGTTACAATAGAGGAAGTGAGGAGGGATACAACACATTCAGAGTTTATGAAAGACCTTATTTACCATCAAAGTGAGGGTTTCCAGATACGCCAGCCTTGTTTTCTCATGCTCTTATGTCTTTGATGAGGAGTTAAGAACTCTAGCCAGGACAACAGAAGACATTGAGAGCTGGCTGGCAGAAAGCACTACGCGGTGTCCTGAAGTTGTTCATTAATTATAAATGATATTGAGGAGTAGACCAAGGAGTAGAAGTGTGTTCAGAAACTTTAAATATCTTAAGAATTTCTACACAATCACTTCTGAGAGAAATAGGAATTTACGCAATTAAATATGAGTATTTTTCTGCTAGCTTCCGTCGCATCATTTTTTTTTCTTTTGCAAAGCATTCATTGCATCTTACCTTTTAAACAGAGTTACATGTCACTTTGACACTCTTCCTGACCCGATTGTAAGTCTTTAGATGGTGGTCCTCAAATATTAGCCAGTTTAAGAACAATCTGAAGACCTTGATAAGAGAATTTAGGGCAGATATCTCTGCGATTCTCATTCAACGAATTTGTGGTGGGGTCCAGAAATGTTCGTTTTAACAAGACCTCGAGTGATTGTAATTCAGTGGTCTATGAGCCACCTTGAGAAATATGTGCCTGCAGATCAGGGTCTCTGTGGCTCTTGGACCTTTGTACCATGCAATGCTCATAGAGATCCCCAGTGCATGTCTGTGAAATTGAAGTAAATGCTTTGGATGGGTAAAACCCCGATAATGATTCAAACCCAAGTGTCCTGCTTTCAGAGATAAGCCTGCAGCCCTAACGGGTTGTCCATAGACTAATTTTTTTGATAGAAGGAAATTGCATAAGCAGTTCTCTATTGGGGACAATTAGTACAAGAGATTCTATCTTATGTAGGAGGACAACTGATGGAAAGTTGCTTTATTTACTTGCTTTTTTCCCTAGCGAAAGATGCAGACCTGGGGAGGAAGAAATGCAGCCTGTAGTACATGGGGAGACAGGTCAGTCATGTTTGAGTTTCCCATTCATTTCTGCATGTGTGCTTAGTGTGTCTTCTGGTTCTTTTGTTTATTGTTTACTAGGTGCTGTGAGGTCTGCTCTTTAATGTGCTTCGCCCTTTGTTCTTCTGCCACAGGGTGTGAAGCCATCCTTGTTTGCCCTTTGCTCTTGGTTACCTCTAAATCGTCATTTGTAAAAGAAAGAGGAAAATCACACCTTGCCCATCAGCTCAGTGTACATCATTCAAAAATAGTATCTTTAATATACAAAGTACAATCTGTCTTTGTGTGGTTACAGAGGGGAATGGTCACATCATGCTCTGGAAAGACAACATCTGGAAAACCAATAGGTAATTATTTCAATGTAAATACAGTGAAAAGCATCTTTATGTTTTAGAGTTTTGCTTAGTTTTGCTAATGCTTTCAGCAACTGCAACAAATTAACACACCACTTTCTTGCATCAACACTATTCACGCTTCAGTTTATTTAAGTGCCATTAGTTTCAGACTGCTTGAAGTTGATCTAACATGACTGTGGAAAATATATGAGGATAATACCAAGACAAAAATATATAAAAATTGTTTTGTCTGTTAAATGTATTGGAAATATTTAAGGCTTAGTTTCCAAGTAAGAAAAGGCAATAAACTTTAACATTAAAATCAAGAATGTTCTGTGTGTCTATCTTCAAAACCTGAGATTATTTCCGTATCTCTCTAGCTTTCTATCTTCTGATGAGCATTCAACAACAGCTTCATCTTTTCAATTAGTGACACCGTCTTAAATCACAGCAGCTCTTAGAAACAAAACCGGCACAAATACCCTCGCCTCTCGGTGGATTTACACACTATCTTGAGGTTGAAAAAAGTTATAGACATGGAAAACAGCACAGTACAAAGGTGATGCTTATTTTATCTGGGGTTTATTGCATGGGCAGAGGCTGTCATTTTCCCATAGTGTCTTCATTTATTATGCTAATTGACTTTCCAAGCTCAGACTGGAGGGTGTCTGCCCTGTGAACTATTCTCAGTTGGAGGGTTTTAAAAGCAAACCTGTTTTGTGCCTGAATGAAACCAAAAATCAATGTGTTTCTTTTCAAAGACGGGAGGGTCAATACCGTGGTTGTTTTTGTTCCCATCCAGTTATGTAACCGTGGAGACTTGTTTCTTTGCTTTCAGGATTTGTACAAAACACATTAAAGTTAAACAATAGCGGAGTCTCGGGAGTAACCCTTTGGGTTGCGCTTTGGAGTGTGTGTCCCTGGGACACAGGAGCTGGTGTGTGTGTGTGTGTGTGTGTGCGCGCGCGCGCGCGCACGTGTGCGCGTGAGTTTCATCTCAAGTGCTGATGTGTGTGTGCCCGCGCGTGTGTGTGATTAGCCAGCACGCAGCACTTCCCCAGGGTTGTGTTTCCTTTTTCCTGAGATTTGGCGAAGGGTAAAGGGTCGGAGTCACACGGATACAAAGCATTTGATTAATGTTCAAGTCACCGCTGTGGCTGCCGGAGCCACCTCCCCTCCAGCCCAGGCCGAGTAAGGCCAGAGCAGAGGGGCTGGGCGCGCAGGGACAGGCGGGAGACCCCACTCCCGGGAGTTTCCTCTGCGGAGCCCCGCGCCCCCCGCACCAGGGTTGCGGCCCGATCCCCTCCTCTCCCCGCGCCCAGCCTCTCCCCAGCATGTAAAGTCGTCTGTCCCTCCTCGGAGTTGGCGCAGGCGGCAACTTTCCTTTCTCGCCGCCGGGGGCCGGGCAGCAGCTGGCGCGCGGGTTAGCGCTCAGCACGGCGGGCAGCGCCGCGCACCGCCGCCGACCATGAGCGAGGACAGCCGCGGGGACTGCCGCGCCGAGAGCGCCAAGGAACTGGAGAAGCAGCTTCGCCTACGCGTGTGCGTGCTCAGCGAGCTCCAGAAGACCGAGCGGGACTATGTGGGTACATTGGAGTTCCTGGTGTCGGTGAGTGTCCACGGCAGACGCAGAGGGACGTCGGGGCGGCGCGGGGCGCGAGTCCCGGAGTGGCCGCTGGAAGCGCGCGCGGCATTGTCTGTGCGGGGACCCGGGACGGGTCGGGGCATCGCAGGCGCGGAAATCCGCGCGTGGATGCTGCGTTCGCGGGCGCGACGACCCCCGCGGGGATTTGTTAGTGCCCTGAGACTCACTGAGTTGCGGGAGCCTTGGAGACCTCCGGGTCTGAAAAGTGAGCTGGAGAGAAGAAAGCTCCAGTCTAGGGAATCCCAGCTGCCCCATCTTCCCTCACTTTTCTTTTACCCCACTACACAGTCTGCTCAAGTGCACTATGTTAATTGTTTTCCCTTCTCGACTTTTCCTGGAGACTTCGTTTTAAAGCTTTGGTTTAATGATTAAAGGTCTAGCCGGCTACATTCATGTACACTAAGTTAAAAAAAAAAAAAATCCTTGAATGTCCTGGAGCTTGAGTTCGTTACTCAGATAACATGGCAGTGGCCGCTTCAGTTAGGATGTTTGAAACATAGGATTCTGGTGTGGGGGTACAGAGAGAGCAGCAGGGTGATGATCTCTAGCAGCTGTTGGATATTAAACCCACATGTGGCGCTCACCCCATCCTAGTCCTACAATCTCCCCCCTCCTCCGCCCCCGGTTTAAAATCTGTCCTCTGCTCAGTTTCTCGTCCCCTGTTTACAGGGCCCATGAGAGTACTGTAATCATGCTTCGGGACTTCATGGGACTGGGAATGTGCTTTCCCGGTTTCTGCTTGACTCACTGCCCTCTGCTTTGAAAACGTTTCATTCATTTTAGGGCCAAAGAGGCAAAACTGAGTGAAAGTAACTGCTGAGACATCACTCAAAAGTTGAATTTTTCCTATTCATTGCTGAAAAGACAAAGAATTTGAGCCTTGGCTTCTTTCCACCCAGATTCCTGGGAGAGCATCATTCAAAGAACCAGGAGCTTTAGTTTTTGTGATCTCATTCAAATCCTTCTTCCCCTTCCAGCAACCAGTTCCATGCCCCTTTGGTCTGAAGGAAAATGTTTCAGGTCCCAAAATTCCTGCTTAGTGTTCTGAAATCTGTCAACTTTCTGCTTACAATCATGACAGAGAAAATTCACTTCTTGGCTGTGGCAAGAAGGAAAGAATAATGTCTCAAGTGATGTAAAATGTACAGGTTGGCTTATAGTTGACTTCTCAAAATCAATATGCTTGACACTCAGGGTCCATATTCTCTGCAAATGTACAGGTATTTGAGAACATTCTGGTAATTGGTGATTTATAGAATTATTATATGCTTCCTTGTAACAAAGATTGTCAAAAAACATGTTTTTAAGATTTGATTTTTAATAGCTTTAAATTTGCCTTTCATGAAACTTTTGTGGTAATAAAGTTCTTCGTCTTTTGAAGAATCTGAGTCATTTTTTACATAATTACTCCTTGCTGCAGATCTATGAAAGCAGCACTGTGCAGAATGCTAATTTGCAGAAATAGACAGTTTTTAATTATATTAAAAACCAGTTTGTTGATCTTTATTTAAAATACCAATTTTTCTTCTAATCTTAAACCTGATTATTACAACAGAAAACTTGTTATTATATATAGAGTTAGGTAAGAAAGTATGAAAAGTACAAAATAAATTTTCCTTTTTTTACAAGGAGAACATAATTTCACGATTTCTTTTTATCTCTTTCGGAATCTGTGGGCTCTTCCACTTTTCATTTTCTTTGTGTATCATTTGTGCTTGTTTATGTTTGTATGTAGAAATGCACTAATTGGTGTGAATGCCATCCTAAATAAAAGTTTTCTTTGGCTTGCCCAGCCTAAGATCTATTTGTAATACATTATTAGATTTTAATTTTAGTGTATTATTTATAGCAACATTTAATCCCCAGGGAGTTTTCTTGGTGACCTGAAGTTGATGTAGTCACCCTGGTTTTGATATTAGACTGTGCTAATATGTACCAAGAACTTTTAAGCTATTCAAACCTTTTGGCCTGGTAATTCCTCTTCCAGGAATCTAACCTAAGGGAATGATTAGAGATGGAGACAAACAATAGAAGGTATTTTTAAAAGTTAGCTATAGTGTTAAATAAGTTGAGTGGTAAATTTGTTGTCAAAAATTGATAGTTTACTCCTAAGTCAAATTTAAATATCTCTTAGATTAGTCATTAATCATTTTTATTATTGGTTGAAGCCATTAACATGGATGAAGGATGACTAATCTCTATTGGGAAAAAGAAGAAGAGGCAGAAAACATATTTTTACTTCTACTAATAATCTATTTTTACTTAGTGACCTACAAATAAAATGGCATTATTACCATTGGCAAAAATGGTATTATTACCTTTATAAAAAGATCATATGTCCCAACAGTTTTGGGGGCTGCGGTGGGTGGGTCACCTGAGGTCAGCAGTTCGAGACCAGCCTGGCCAAAATGGGGAAACTCCATCTCTACTAACAATACAAAAAATTAGCCGGGCGTGGTGGCGGATGCCTTTAATCCCAGCTACTCAGAAGGCTGGGGCAGGAGAATTGCTGGAACCTGGGAGGTGGAGGTTGCAGTGATCAGAGATCACACCACTGTACTCCAGCCTGGGTGACACAGTGAGACTCCATCTAAAAAAAAAAAAATCATATGACTAGAGGGAAAAGTTTTTCTAAAATCTTTCCTATTTCCAAGCCCTCTCTCTCCTCAATTCCCACCCTTTGGCCTTTAAGGAAAGAGCATCTTCCTCCACTGCCATCCCCAAGACAGCACATGAGCATTGCCTTTCTTCTCTATACCATGGCATCTGTCTATCTGCATCTTTTCTGTAGTCACCCCTAGGCACATACTGCTGTTTGAACAAAGCTCTGTGCCTTCACCTGGCTACCTTGCCATGGTGGGCCGTGTTTCCTCAGGCCTCTGCCTTTGTTCTTCCTGTAGCCTTCCTTCTATACCTGGTGGATTCCTACTGGGCTTTCAAGGCTCAGTTAGCCCGGTCTTCCCAGGAGCTCCTTGCTTTGTACCCTCCCTACCTTGTATTTCCTTCTTCCACAGTTACCAAAATAGTTGATGTGTGCGTTTGTTTACTTTGGTCTCACTCTGCTAGATCTCCTTGAGGATAGGGACATACCTTGTGTGACTGTGTTTTCATTATTTTGTGTAGTGCTTGTGACATTGTAGGTACTCAGTAAATGCTTGTTGAGTGCATACATGAATCAATGTTGACCCATTCTCTAGCCTCCCACTCCATTTTTAAGGACAGTGCCTCAATCGTCCTTAATATTTTGATTTCCTGTTTTCTTCCATTTGGTCTAGATAGACAGTAGAATTTTCTTCAGTTTTGCTCAGGCACATATGAATTTATGCCGCAAAAAATTTCAAATTAAACATTAGTACCCGTCTTTAAAACAGAAACATGATTTAAATCAGGCATTAAGGTATTAAAAACTTTGCATGCACTATTATTTCATCTCATATATTCTAAATTTTTTTTGAGATCTGGAATAGGTTATGCTATCTAGATTTATTATTTTTAGGTCACAGATAAAATGGTAGAGAGTGACTTAATTTGCCTGAATTTATGTTCTTGTTTTGGTTGGGAAATGCAATTTTGTACTTTATTAAAAGTATTTGCAAACATTTCTTCTAAAGAAATGATTATATGAACCTAATATCCAGTATTTAACATCCAAAGTCTGTACAGTAGTAAGTAACAACCTGTTTCCTGTTTGCAAACCTGTGGCAGAGCATGCCAAGATGACAGACTCATGTGAGTGGACAGAGAAAGGGAAGACCCAGGGCTGGCTTCATGGATGCACATCCTGTGCAGTGGCCCAGGGTTCAGAGCTGGGAGGGACGTCCAGCTTGTTTTAATGCTCCTAAAATTCTTACCAATTTTATCTTTGACCTTGTGTTTTGCAGATGAAGTCTGATGGGACAGTGGACATGAGCAGAGCAGATACATGAAAGAAAAAAGCTTTTTATTTCAATACCTTTAATAGCATTCCCTCATAGTCCCCTGCTTTTTGAACAAAAGTCCTCACACTTTTATTTCGCATCAGGTCTGGAAAATTGTCTAGACCAGTTCCATTGTGGGTCAGTGGTATTGAGGCAGGATGACCATATAATTTACTGTGTAAACTGGGACACTTCTGCGAGTGAAAGAGAGTGCCATTAATAATTACACTGGCGAATAGAAGGAAACTGGGATTGTTCCTGGCAAACCAGAATGCATGGCTAGTCCACATCGTGGGCATATCAAAACAATGAATTCAAGCTATGTGTCCTGTCATAGACAAAAGATTTTCAAATTTGTTGCCTGTCTAGGCTTTGACCTCGGACACCTTAGCCTTTGAGTCCCATCTCTAATTTGCTTTGTGATTTTAAACATATTCCTAACTTTTCATGCCCCTTTTTCTTCATTTGTAAAATGGAGAATGGCATTTCTCAAGGATATTGTAAGGATGATGTGATGTATGGATTGGGCTTGGACCATCTGGCTCATAGGAGGGCCCTATAAGTAGTTACTGTTATTTTTGCTGATGCTACAGTTGTTATAAAGAGCCATGCTCTTTATAACAAATATAAGTGTGATCATTAATTACACTTTTTGTTTCTGTTATATTCCTCCTCTACGCTTTTTATATGGCCCCACTTCTCTTCTTTGTTTCCTCCTCTTGCATTTTCCTTCTGTTAGTATAGTCTTTTTAATGATATTCTTATAAATGCTCATTAGTTGGCTTTAAGACAGTGAGAAAACTTTATATTCCATGTAACAACAACCACAATTAGTATGGTGCCTTAGAGTTTAAACAACTGCATCCTCACTCTCTTATTCAGCTTAATATATGCGTGTCTCTTAGCTCTTTCAAATTGTGCTCCCTGGAGCTCCAGAGGCCCTTGCAAGGGCTGATGGGGAGCTGGATTTTATGACTTCAGGTTTGCCATTCTGGCTTCTCTGTGCATGGCTCTACCGTCCTCAGATCTGAGGTTTCATAAAAGCAG